AAAACTATAGGTATTCAGAGTTGAAAAGATCCAAATCGCATCATTGAAATTAATATTTGTGACCTTACAAACGTTATTCCTAATGTTAAGTGAGAATAGTCAATGGTGAAATTTTGAACAGATCTCTTGGTTGATTATTGCTTCTGATTCTTCTACTACTATTAATTCTACTTCTACAGCTATACTATCTTCATCAATTAATAAATTCATTGGGATGGGTAATTGGGAAAAAGTTTTGCTATGACCATAAAAAAACAATGCGCAAAAAAAAGAGAAGTTACCTACAAGTGTGAGAATAACTATATTATTATATATAATTATATAGATTAATTATTATGTAAAAATGGTTATTATATGTTCTACAAAATGTATATGTTTGTAACTTCCGATGATTTAAACATTCAACCTGAACGTATTAATATTAATTATTATCAAGAATTAATTAAAAAATTTTTCAAAAATAATAATAATTATAAGAATTTATAATGTGAATTACCTCATTAGATCCTTTACAACATCGTGAACTCTGAAAGACATATCCGTAATCATTATTATAATTAGTTACATGAATCTTGATTCCTTGGAATCTATTTCTTCTATAATTTTTTCATTCAAACTTTTGTTCATTACTGCTTGAAATTTGTTACTAATGCTTTTTCCGAAGAGATTTCTAATTCTATTATTATTATTATTTTTTTTTTGGATTGATTATTATTGATGGTAATGACATGCGACCTAAATTTATTTGATAAAGTTGGACACTCTCAACAATATCAGATGTATGAAAAAAAAAATCGAAATTGCAGTCTAACTACATACTTGGCAACCCTTAATGACTCATCACTCAAGCGTGCTACCTCATAGCCACTTAGTGCTGCAAGTTTTCCCTGCTCTGTTTCCAGCCTCGGGCTTTTTCCTTGCTATTTAAGAACCTACTGGCCCAAATTTACAAATAAACCAGAATGTTCACACAAAGTTCAAATGAGACACTGCTTTCAACGTGCAGCATTAGAGATTGTTGGTCCAAATGTGAAGTATTCCACATTTCTGTTCTCCAGAAGCAGAGTTACAGTCTGAAGCCACTCAGACCAACACTAGTATAGTGAAATTTTGACTTATATATCAACTCTCAAAAAAGTTTTTATGCATTATGGGATTAATTCATGTAATTTAATTGGTTAAATTTAAATTATTAAAAATCTATCGAAAATTTGCGGTCAACAATATAGTTACCATATGACAGAAGAAGCTTTGGATGCTTGACAGACTTTTTGGTCAGGTCTCGATATTTAATAACGTTAATAACAAAAATATTGATTTAGTAACAGAGATACATATGTTAATTACTAAAGCAAGCAGTTATGAAGGAAAATAGACGAGTAGATACTCGGAAAAATTGTTACTAGATATAGTTTAATTTGAATAATATAAGCACTACAAAGTCAAAAATTAGATTGTTTCTTATATTTATTTGAATCTATTTTTTTCGTTCATTTTTAATAATTAAACAAAAATCAACTAATTCTGTTGTTAATCCGTAATATAAGCGAAGAGTTCATATCTCGATAATTATTACATTGAAAATTTTAAAGTTTGTTTTGTAACAAACGACGCGCGTTGAAACACGCAAATCAATATACCGAAACCTCAAAAAAGAAATAGCAAATTTTTTCGGTAAAAATCGCAGAATCAAAAGTAATTTTTGTTCAAAAATCTTGATACCATCTATAGTGTGGACGTTCTCGAATTAAAAGTAAAGAAAGAAGGCCTCTAAGTCCTTGTAATTTGTAAATGGATAATAATAATGTCACCAATTAGGGGCGAGAGAGCGAAATAATAAAATAAATTGAGTGGGTCAGGCTAAAATAACCTTTACTAAAGAATGGTTTAGGATTTGAGTTTAACTCGTCTCCAATCAAAGCTTTTAATTTTAGAATCTTATTTTAGTTAATGAGTTTCAGATTCATTGATAATTAATAATCAATGAGAACTGTGTATACTGATTAAAACCTAGTTAATCTTATCAAAGAAAAAAGATCGATCAGCCATTTTTATTTACTGACAAGATTGTTTTTATCATATGAAAAAATTGAAACTATGGTCGCAATGAAATGGAAAAATAATGAAATAAAATGTGGGTAAAATGTTTAAACCAATTAACGTTTACTAAAATTAATTAATGTATATTAAAACTTAATTAATACTGAAATAGAATAGTGTTATTAATTTAACTTTTTATCTTCCTTTGGGCTGAAATCTTAAACAACAAATTCCTAAAAATATAATTACTATTATTTTATTTATTTATTACCCAATATATACATTACACATATCTCTTTTTTTTTAAAAAAAAAATATGATCAACGAATAGAAATTTGCGCTGTTGCTTGCTGGGTGATATAGTTTGATATAGTTGCTTCTGCTATGTTTAGATTCTCTTCGATCATTATGCATTACTCGCATACTCATAGACGGATGAATTTTGTTATCCTCTTTGACCTTAATACTTTAATCTAAAACAACAAAACAACAATTCTACTTACTATTTCATACAAAAAATAATTACTAATCAATAGATATAGTTCTACAATATCAAAAATATAGTTTTACAACTAGTAATAATGGTAATAGTACTCCAAAATTACGTGCTATTGCCAATTAAAGTTGATGATGCAATTTCTAACCAATAGACTTTTTTAGATAAAAAATGATTATTTTTTTTTTGAATTATAAATAGAGTTACGAAAAATAACAACAATTCAACAATTCAATTTTCCTTTGTGAAAAATATTTTAACGACAAAAAAAAAACTTATTTTAAAAAAAAAACTAATAAAATTAATTCAAAATGGTTCTTCGTCTTGGAAATGAGGCTCCAAACTTCAAAGCAAATACCACCAAAGGAGATATTGATTTTCATGAATTTATCGGTAGCTCTTGGGTAATTTTATTTTCTCATCCAGCTGATTTCAGTAAGTATTTTAATTAATTGATAAATGTGTATTTTTTTAAATCTTAATTATTATCTATATCACTTATTTAACAATCGATTATCATCCATATATCATTCTTTTTTGTTATATAGCTCCAGTATGTACCACAGAACTTGGTGAAGTTGCTCGCAGAGCAGCAGACTTTGAACAACGTAATGTTAAAGTTATTGGATTGTCAGCCAATGAGTTAACTGATCATTTGAAATGGATTGAGGACGTCAACGAAGTTGGTAACGTAAAACTTGGCTTTCCAATCATTGCCGATGCTGATCGTAAAGTATCAACTTTATATGACATGTTGGATTATCAAGATCCTACCAATATTGATAGCAAAGGAATTCCATTCACTGTTCGAAGTGTTTTCATCATCGATCCAAAGAAATCAATTCGTGCAATCATCACATATCCCGCATCAACTGGTTAGTATTCATTTGTAGATACTTGTAGTTAATATTTTAATCATAATAATATTATTAATCAATCAATTGTGTTATTTATCACTATTTAGGTCGTAACTTTGATGAAATAATCCGTGTAATTGATTCACTTCAACTTGGTGATAAACATCGTATCACCACCCCTGCCAATTGGAAAAAAGGTGATGATGTTATTGTTCATCCAGGTGTTAGTAATGAAGAAGCTGATAAATTATTCCCTGGCTATAGAACCGTTAAGCCATACCTTCGTCTTGCTAAATCTCCTTTCTAATCATATCAATCAATCAATCATTCATTCACAAATGTACATGAAACATGCAATTGTTTATATTTATTATATTTGCTTTATTTAAATATATTTTGTGATAAACATATGTACAAACAAATAAATTTTTTTTTCAATTGACTAAATTTTATAATTTAAACAAAACTTGAATTTCAACTCGTTTTTTTATTTGCTGTCTATTTATTAATTTTCCCATTTTTACAAATATAATAATAAAAATGTAACAATCTATCATCATTTTTATTTACCATTGTTTGAGACCTCAAGATATGGTAAATTAAAAATTTTATTTGGAACAATATGTTTCGAGTTAGATGAGAATCATAGAATATCATGGGAATTAATAGTTGTTAATCGAACACAATTTTTTTAGACATTAAAGAAATAATATTGGCAATTAAAATATTGGAATAAAATAAAGTTCTTGTTGTCTGTCCGATAATTGTCTTTGTGAATTTGTGATTTCACACAACTTGGTGTCATATTTCTGCTTGTAATGGGAATATATATTGTATCATATTCATGTTCTTGATATAATGATTATGATTATTATGAATGAAACTTTAAAATTGTGTCGACTATTTCAATCTATATAGAATCGTCATTTCTGAGAAACCTTTTTTTCGATGGTAAAGTTTTTTTTGGAAGTTGGTATTAAAAAAATTTGTCAAAAAAAAAAAGTAAAGGATGGGAGGATGTTAGACGAGTAACTTTTTCTTGTATTCTGACTAATTATTATTTTTTCAAAAAAAAAAAAAAATTCTGACTTCCTTTTATCATTTACATTCTTACATGTGGCAATAAGCGATAAACCGTTTGAAGATTTTAAAGAACTTTAAATATTCTAAAGTATTGATTTAGAAAAGAATTAATTATAATTATATAATGCCAATAATTATGTAAAAACTTTTTTTTAAATCAGAAATAATAGTTTCCACAAAGGATGATAACATCATTCCATATTCAGAAGAACGAAAGTTATTAAAAAATTTAAAGATTATTCATCATTTTCTTCCATTTTATAATTTATAAAAAAAATAAATTAATATTTACCAATAAATTTCATTCATTGCGTTAAAGCATAGCATCAAAGAAAAATTTTTTTTTGAGATCATTGCAACATTTTGGGGTGCGAAATTTTAAATTTATAATAATAATAATACATTTATATATATATATACAAAATAATAATATTTAAAATAATAATAATACACTTAAAATTATAATTTCTCTATTAACAAAATAAATAAATAATAAATAAATAAGTGTTGATTGAGAAATATCCCTAAAGTCTTTGAAAAATAGTCTAATTTTATTTACAACAAATTGTCATTTCACATTCACCGCCACTAATTTGTATATATTTCCATCCAATATCATTTATTGTTGTTGTTGTTGTTCATGGGCTGATTAACAGTTGGTAAACTAATATTTTCATTCTCGTAATCTTGTTTTTGATGTTCAGAAAATACTCCAGGCATCGAATCCATTGTGTCGTTCGATTTTGTTAAATCACTTGATGTTGGTATGGAATTCATTGTGGGGAGTTGTGTTGTATGTAGCCTTGGTGATGTTGGTACTGATTGTGTTGTTGTTTCGTCTATAGATGAACCATCATATTCATCATCATCATCATCTTCTTCTTGTTCTGCTTGAATTGCAAGATCATTAACATCTTCTTCATCTGACGTATCATCATTTTGACGAATGGGTTTAGTTACTATTTTTAAAATTATTATTAATTATTCATTAACACATGTGTAAATGTGTGCATAGCGTGTTCATAAACTAAATGAACTAACCTGTCATTCTTTTTTCTAAACCCACAACTTTCTCAGGTGCACTATCCATGTAATGTACACTGTTGCGATTATTTCTACCTGTGAGTTCATCACGAATGTCAATACGACGAACAGCTGTTACAGGTAATAGTGCGACTGGAGAATTCTGTAAAAATAAAAGATTTCATTTTAATAATAAATTCATTGTCATTTTTAAACCATCTTTAAAAAGCAAACACTAACCTTTGAAACATCAGGTTCTTCCGACGATGCGTCCATTGTTCTTGGTGCTGCAACACCATCACTATTAGTAAAGAATATGTAGTCAAATTCTGCCATGAATAAACTGAACACGCTAGCTGGTATACCAAGCGTAGGCGAAAAAACTATTCCAATGTTTCTTGCAGTCATTTTGTTGATTTGTGCATTTTGAACAATTCTTATTAAATGTCCTGTCAATGTTCTTAACAGTGTATAGTTGGATAATGGTAATGCAGACACTAGTCGACCAAGTTCGTTTATACGATCTTTTCTACCAAGTAAATCTAAAAAAAAATATAGGTTATTATCGTTGTTGTATATAATATAATTACTTCTAATTTTATTTATTAAAATGGCATACCAATAACGTTTACAAATTCCAAATGTAAGTCTCTGCTTAATACACTGGTTGGTAATTCTCTAAGATAGAGTTTCAACAAGCCAGCCACTGCATGCACATCATAATATTCTTCTTCACTCAATAAATCAACATCGCCCTCTGTATTGAATCGTTCCTTTAACCTTTTTATAGTGGCAGTTGCCCCATTTAATCGATATATACCTTCTTCTTCAGCTGCATTATTAGCATCCAAGTATTCAATGCAACGATAAACGACAGCTGGTAGCTCATAATTTTCTTTTATTCTTGAGACGGCAATAGCCTGATCAAGTGAAACTCCAAATACAACTTTATTAGAATCTGGTTTCGGATCTTGATATTTCTTTTTATCATCTTTACTACCAAACATACTACCAAAAAAAGTTTTTCTTACTGCTTTTTTATGTTCATCATTGTGACGATCTCTTCTAAGGCTTAATTGCTTGTGTAAATGTGTTGTGCTATTACCAAGAGGCAAAGGATCTTTTGGTTCAAGTGTACTACCTTTAATCTTTTCTGAATCATCTCTTGGAGATATTAAATTATGCCCGGTATTATTACCTAAAATTGATGGTGGTTGTGTTGGCGGCGGCGGCGGTGGTTGGAAACTAGGTTGTGAATGGTAATGTTGTTGTTGTTGATTACTTTGTATATTTTTTGACGGGTCAATTTGATCATTATTAAAAGATGAATTTGGATGATGATGATGCTGCTGCTGATTTTGTTGAAATTGTTGATGATGTAATTGTTGTAATTTAGAATCATTACTATTGTTATTAACATTATTGTTACTGTTGTTATTATTTTTTGATTGTAAATCTTTTTGAGCTTGTTGTAAAACAACATCAGTAGCAATAAGTTTATCAGTTTGTTCATTTCTATCAAGTTGAGAAATAGGTTGTGCATCAATTTTGGAAATACTTTCTTTCAGAAACCTGCTTTTAACATCTTTCCTTTTTTTTGTCTTTTCTTTTGCTTCTTCCTCACTTACTCCAACATATTGTAGTAATATTTCTATCCACTCGTCTCTATCAGAATCGCTTTCTGCACATAAAACATGTCTTGTTTGTGCATTCTTGGAATTGAGTTTTGATTCTAAGATTAGAAAGGCATGTCTGTAAGAGTTTTCGCTATCTTTGTCTGAATCGTTATTTACATTACTTTGTCTGCCAATTTGTGCATTTGTTATACGAATGAACCCAAGTTGGCTACCATCTTTCTATTAATTTTTAGTTATTTGATTATTTTATAGCAAGTAATTTTACAATTTGGAAAATAAAATAAAATTAAATATTCAACTTACACTTTCATAATATTCCAAAAGTGGACCATCTAAAACAAAATATCTAGTTTTCCAACCACCAAAACTTTTGCCTTTCTTGGTAAGATAACCTTCTTTACGACCACGTAACTAAATAATATTATTTAGTAAACATATATATTCTAATCCATATAAACAATCAAACAAATTTATATTTATTTTATTATGATTGCTAACCTGATCATCTTTGTCATCTGGCTCAACAACATCTGAACTTAGAAACTCATACAAATCTTTAGAATCGTTTAAATTTAAAGAAATTGCATGTAGTAAATAGTGTTCCAAAGCCAACTATCGATTGTTCAACAGATGTATATTAATTTCCAAATAAATAAATAAATAAATAAATAAATAAATAAATAAATAAATAAATAAATAATATAATATAATAATAATAAATAATATATTTACTAACCTTTCTTTGATCAGCTTTACTTGGTGAATTATTGTGAAAAAGAGTTTTATCGGGTAATTTACCAATTTTATTTACAACACTTTTGAGCTGCTTTTGTTTTAACTTTATTAATATACATAAATATTAATTACATGAATTATACACATTTATAATTATTATACAAATATACATAATTGTACGCATATTACCTTACTATCCAATCCCAAGAAATCGGAATATAACTTTTCAATCCTCCATAATTCTTTCTCCATACCAACAACTACAGCATCCACTACCTTTGATTTACCAACAACTATTACAAACGCTAAAACTTCTTTACCCTTATCATTTATTTTTTTGTTACTTCCAATCACTTTAACAGTAATACCAGATATAGAATCGCCTAATAACAAAGAAGTTTCTGAAGATGGTGGCACATTATTTTGTTGTTGATGATACTGTTGATATTGATGTTGTTGCCTCTGGTTTTGCTGCTGTTGCTGTTTTTGATAAAATGACGATTGATTTGTAATCGTATTAACATCAGGTAAAGAGGCTTTTTTTATATGACGCATTACACGTTCAGGTGAAGAGCTATTCTCTGTGTTATTTTTATTACTAGGAGGAGATATGACCACATTATTACTATTTTCTTGATTTCTGGGAGGAATATATAATGAGCCGTTACTATTCTTATTTAATAAGCGATGATTATTTGATTCGTAACGATCAAACGATTTACTAGTTTTAAGAGCTCTATTATTTTCATTAGAATCGCTATGAATACGAAAATATTTAGATGAGTTCTTTGTTTCATCACCAACATCAGCATCATTATCATTTTCATTATTGCCGTTGTTGCCGTCGTTATTTTTGTTATTGTTATTAGGTAAGTTTATTAAATGTTGAACCGATTGAGATTTGACAGACGGTTGTTTCATTTGATAAATGTTTTGGTGGCTGGGATTTGGATTATCATTATTCATACTATTAATACTAGTGTTTGATAAATTATGATGTAGGAAAGCTTTAGGAGAGCTAGGTAGTCCGGGAGAATGCGGCGGAGTTAGTTGATTTTTATTAGCTAGTAAGCCGAGAGGTTCGGGCACATTAAGTGAGTTGTTATTTTTAGTAAATGAAGATGACGATATGACAGATGAAGTAGGTGAAGAGGATACCGATGATTCATTTTCATCGAGATTTTCCTTATAATTGTCATTGTTATTGTTGCTAATATTGCTATTAGGTGAATTTGGGGATGTTAAGACAGGCGGATCTCTATGAGTAGGTTGTGGAAATTGACCAAGTGGATCGGGATCATTAATATCTGATTCAACATTAATAGATTGAGCATTAACATTATTGTGATAACTTTTAGCCGAGTTAACTGACATTATTGAATTTGATGGTGAAAGAGGACGGTTATGTGGAGAATTATTATCGTTTTGGAATTCATGGTTATTATCATTATTAAAACTGTCAGGTTTTTGAGAAGGGGAATTTAGAATAAGATTATTACTAATTCTGATTGAACTTTGACGTTGAGAGGATTTAGGAGGAATTATAGGGCTGGGAGAAGATTTATTGCCAGTGGACATTGAAGTAGTTGATATAGTATTATCATTTAAAGAAACATCTAATTTTTGATTATTATTTACGTTTGGTGGATTTAATATTAGTGAATCATGCTCATCATTAAGTGTCTTTGAATTATTGTTGTTGTTGTTATCATCTTTAACTGTAGCATTAGAAGTATTAGGTGATTCTAGGTCGGAATAGTTACCTGCTAGAGCATTAACAGAAGTTCCTGAATTCGTGAAAGAACTCGAAAGTATAGAACTTATGGAATCGTTATGAATAGGCTGGTAGGGAAGAAGTATTTGTATAGAAGAATTTGATTGAGGGTGTCGATGTTGTTGACTATCATTGTCATTTTGTTTAACATTTTGTGATTGTTGAGATTGTGCTTGTTGAGGTTGTGGATGTATTTGATTTGATATGGTTCCTCTTGAATTATTATTATCATTATTATTATTATCATTATTATTATTATCATTATTAATACTTTGATGATTATCATATTGAATCGACGCAGTTGATTCAAATTGATTATCAGCAATGTTAGATGAATTGATATTAATGTTATTATTATTATTACTATTATCAAAGTTCTCATTACCATTTTTATTAATAGGAGCTGATAAAGTAACATCGTCAGGTGCTTCCAGGCTACTGACTTTAAGTGTATCAATGTTTTTAAGTTTTGTTACAAGTTTATCTCTAACACTAATTAATTTTTGATTATCTAGTTGTAGATTCTTTATTGTAACCTTTTGTTTTTCAACGAGTTTCCATAATTGATCGTTTTGCGACTTTAACAAATTACGTTCATGAATTACTTGTTGAAGCAAAGATACAGATGAATCACCATTTAAATTATTGCTTGGTTGGTAGCCTTTTTGTTGTTGATAATTAGAAGAAGGAGTAGAGGAAGAAGGAGTAGAGGAAGAGGAAGAAATTACAGTTTGTAGTGGATTCATTTTGATTCAAATGGTTGTGTAGTATTTGTGAATATAATAGTCGTTGTGTTGATAATGGTGGTGAAGACAAGGTTTTTTTTTTAGTTAAATAATTAAAAAAAATTAACTTCTAAAGAACATGAAAATTATTAAAGCCAAAGGAGGTATTAAAAGAAAATAAAAAAATGTAGTTGAGAATTGTTATATTAGCATACAAATAAATTTATAAAAATTGATTTGGATAAAAAGACACTATTTATAATTTATGATGTAGATCATTAACTTAAATGTGCATAAAAACCAAAGCAACTAACTATATAACAAGTATTGAAACCTGTGGCTCTTGGCGAATACTATAAAAGATTAGCTTTACTTTTTTTTCTTTTACATGATCAAAAAGGTTGTTTCAAAAATGTAATACAACTATACAAACTAATAAAAACAATAGAACAAATAGGATAATAAATATTGTAATTATGAAATTATCTAAAATTGGATTATTATAATAATAGCAGATCTTTTATATATTATTAGTTAATATAAAAAAACCTCAATTGTACTGCCAATTGGCGGTTATTTTTCAATACGATGTAATGTGATGTCAAGCATGATTAAAAAATCTTTGTAAAACAATAATATATACCATTCGTTGCTTTACTCTAGTTCACTTAAAGCAGGTTGGCAAAATCTCATTGTGGGAGGGTTAAAATTTCTACCAAAATATATAATTACCACCCCGAAGATGACCAGATTCATCGCCATTTGAGAAAAATGAATTAATAATAATGATTTTATTAAAAAAGTCAATCAAATTTCTTTTTTAGGTGATCAATGTCTATACTAATATGGTTATTTAATAACTTTTGATCACACACATGGTTTATTTTCATATACCAAAAAGGAAATCAATCATTTTTTTTTATGGTTTTAACTATTTAAGTTCTTTTGACAGGAAGAGACTTCCATTGTATTTTTATCGATATTGAAAGCGCGAATAATTTTTTCCCGGCGCATATAATGGTCGATATTGAACTTGAAAAGAAGGGAGAATTTATTGAATTGTGGAAGGGAGATTAGAGGCACCAGCAATTGCATCACTGGGCTTGAAGGAAATACATGCAGGTTGACATATTCTACTGTTCCATGTATTATGACAGTGTTAATTTTGTCTACCGAGAATGTTGAAACAATAGGAGCAGATATATATTCGTTTGTCATCCCACAGCTTCATGGAAAACAATTACAAATGACACCATAATAGTAATAGACAGAAAATACTTTTCTGTCCGTGATCGACAATATTAATATTAATAATTAATATACTAATACATTTTCAATTATAAGACTAAAACGTTTTATTTCACTATAAAGCAAAAACTTAAAATAAGATTCATAAATTTCAAGGTCTTCTCTTTATTTATTATGTAGGTTATTGAGAAAACACCCTTAAAAAACACAAACTCTCACGAATGAGTGGGTAAAACTCACAACGAATGTTTTTATTAATACCATGATTAAATACTCACAATACTCATAATTGTTTATTTTTTTAGTAGAATTGCAACCGATAGTAAAGCAAATAAGAGTGTAATGGTGGGAAATAGTGTAGTTCGTTGTGTATAGTATAGTATAGTGCAGTTCACTTTCTATATAACGGACCATTTGGTATTAATATTAAGAAAAAATGTCTGACGTAGAAGGGGTTCGTTATAGACATTATAGACAGTAATAATGAATATATAAATCGGACATAAATTCTCGGTTCGTATAGAGCAAGATCCGTTATTATTGAACTGTAATTACTATTACTATTTTTTTTTTTTTTTTTTTTTTTGGCACTTAGTTCAGAATTTTTGAGCAGTTATGTTGGTTCAAGTTTACATATCGCAGTAATTGAAATATGTCTTTTATTCTAATATTGACATTCGTGAAGTAGTGTAGTTAGTACTTAAACACTTTATTATTTGTTATAAATAAGTTTAAATTGCACAATAAAATCGTGTATAAAATTGTTGTTTGTTTCTGTAATATTTTCATTGGCAATTAATATTAGGACAATCGGTGAGTGATTTCGGATAAAATTTTTAGGAGATCGAAAATAGCGAGTTGAATTGGAATATTCAGAGAAAATGGATTGATAAAAGAAAAAAATAAATAAATGAACGTATGTCAGTGAATGAACAAATAAATGTTGATGGTGACGAGGAAGAAAGTTCTGATGTTTCTTTTGAGTGTGGGACCATCAATACAAGTAGTATTATTACAACTCTGCTAATAAAAAAGGTGGGAATCTAATGTCAGTAGCAACGGCAATGATGAAATGTAAAAGTTGCTACTTGGAACACAAAATGAACGAATTAATCATCTTTAATCATATTTTTTAACAAAAAAATAGTTTTCAAAATATTGGAATACCACAAAAAGATAGGCCACTCGATTACAATGAAGGTCAACGAAGACAATTTGGATTGGTTTTTCCGAAACCGAAAATTTCAACATTGCTATGAACATAAATAATCAAACCTTACTATTATGTAAAACTAGTAGACACTGTCCAAATGACTAAATTAATTGTTAATATGAGCTGAGAAAAGGTCAATAATCTGTAACGTACTACTTTAGAGAAATATATAGCAAATTAGGCACATCAGGAAAATAAATCTTACGTAGGTTAATGTAAGATTTATTTCCACTGAATTTTTTATGTAACAGATTACTTCATGATTATTAAGTTTTTGGATATAAATAAATTCTATGCCGAATTTTACATAATAAAAATAAATAAATAAATAGTTCTAATATGATCGGGACTATAGAAAAGTTGAATAAAATTTAGTAGTTGATTCTATATGAATAAATTAGAAATTACATTGAAATTTCGTAAAAGTATAACTTTGAATAAATACTTAGTGATGAGATTCCATCATTTTTTGATATTTATTTGCAAGATCTTAAATGCAAACATGGTAGAATATTAGCTGGTGGTCTAGTGTTTACCATTACTAACTTGTAATTCAGGAAAATATTTAGCAAAAGGTTTTATATGTTCCTTTGCTGTTAATCCTGATGCATGCCTCCAAGATTGATCATTATTAGTTTCGCATTACTCTTGGGATATTCTTGAGCAAGTGAAGCAAACAAACATGGTAAAGTACTGGCAGTTTGTTTTGATGTTTTATTCACTAGAATTAGGAAAAAAAAGGTGTTAAAAAGCATATGTAATTTCCTTGATTCTTAATGGAAGCATACTTGAAGAAATTAACAGATTTTAACAGATTTTTGACAGATTCCAATAGAGCATCACATAAACTCTATGATTCATATATGAGTTGCATTTCCAAATTTGGAAGTCTCTCTGACATAATTTTGCAAATATTACAACTTTACATATTAAAATTTATGGACATAATATTATGACAGGGAAATTTCCTGATGCAATTGGTATTTTGCTTTTTGTAGTCAATATTATTATTATTATTATAAATTATTACAAGATGTCAAGGCTAAGGTTTCTGGTCCAAACTATTTTCCCAAAGGCCAAACTAGTTTGGGCAATTTGGGCTTCTCAGCATTTTTTATAAACATGAGCATTAAAAAACTATATCAATCAACTTATTTTAACTTAAACAACTTTAAAGTAATTTTGCCCAATTTTGACTAATAACAAAAAATAGTTTGGGCTTGTAAAAAAGTAATTTTTGCCCAAAGTGAAACACCTGAATTGTGTAAAGATTGGCTCTTTCACCTGCATGGAATTTGTATAAATTCTGCCTCTATTGGAAGACTCTGATCCAATATGGGTTTTATACATCAAAAAAAGGGAATTGTCTTTATGTATGTAAAAAAAATAGTTTTTAACTTTAAGTTTTATTATAAATAAATGATTAATAGAAATTAAAGATTTATTTATTAAAAGCATGAAAAAGTTCTTGGAATGTGTCAATTGAGAGTGGATTATTTCAAAAGAAAAAAATAATTTGAATTAAAAAATATGGAAACCTTTATAAAAGGAATCACATTGCAATCCCATAATCAAGAATCTGTTGGTGATGATAATGAAGATGAACTGTTTGATGCAAATGAAGTAACTAATGATATGACACTCAGAGATGGTAATATTGAAAATAATGACTATCATCCGGAAAATATAAAAAAATTTTACACATGTCAATTGTAAGTTTAATAATAAAAAAGTGTAAAACTTACGTCGGCACTGTAAGATTTACACAATATTACGTCGGCATCGTAAGATTTATGCAAGTTTACGCTAAATTAATTTCCTGATGATGAACATTAGCATCTTTTGAAGGAGAAGAGGATTTAGGTGTCTTTGAAGAAGGAACTGGTAATTCTATTAACAGAACTGAACATTGGGTAGAATTTATTCAAAATTGGATGAATATGATTGATGATAATAAAGATATTTCTGATCCTTTAGAATTTATATCTGTAGATCATACTATACATCCTGCTGATGATTCAATTGCCAAATGGAGTCTGTGTAATATGGTTGGCTTGGTCTAAAGACTCCTATTGCTGTGCCAAATGCTCAAATTTCAAAAAATTGTGATTTTGTGATTTGATCAAAAATGCAATAGAATTTTTAAAAAAGGGTTTCATGTGATTTTGGTTAAAAAAATTATTTTCCTTACTGCCAAATTTAGATATGATGGTTGAGCATTAGTCTAAATTTAGTTAAAGTACATGTTTTAAAAAAGAATAGGACTCTACAACAAAAGAATTTTTTTGAGAAAATCTCTTTATTATATCAAAACTAAATACATATACTATCAACTAATAGAGCTATTTTTTTAAAAGATAGGACAGAAAATGACTTCTATACTTTTAAAATTTGTCCAAAATTTAGGAGGTCTTTAGACCAAGCCAACTATATTTTTAATGATAATTTAGAATCACCTGATTTTGTAAATTCATTTGATTAAATGTTAAAATTTTGAATTTAAAGTTAAACAATATGATTGGTTCAGCAAATGACTGTGTCATTTAAAATTGATTTTAAAATGACCTAAATGACTTGTCATTTGTCATTTGAGTCATTTGAGGTCATTTAATCATTTTTCATCACTGCCATGTCCTACATATTAATATATAATAAAGTTTATAATATATACAAACATATTGTATTTTATTTTTGTTAAAACATCAACTGATATTTTTTTTACATTTTTGCCCCACTGATCTTTCTCAAATTCTCTCATTTATTCATGGATTGTCAATTAAGCTACCTTTTGCTAGAGAGCCCCCATATGATCAGTGTAATTGTCATTTTAGTGGAAATAACATAATTATGTTATTTCCACTTAGTCTAGGTTATGAATGACGTGTGAATTGCAAAACTCAAGTCATTAGAGTGATGGATAGATCATAAATCTCAAGTCATTCAATTGATGGGTGTGTCATAAAATTCAAGTCACTTGACTTATAATATAACCCTAAGTGTGACGTGTAGATTACAAAACTCAAGTCATATTAGTCAAATTCGATAACATTATTTGTATACCGATTTGGTAATTATAACCGATTTCCATCGTAATAAAATAACTGAGGTAGGTTATGCTACCGGGTTGATCTCATCACGAGTTTGATGAGTCAAACATATTTTATACGTCATTTGATATCATATGTCAGCTTAGTGATCTTGGCCGATTTCCATTGTAATAAAATAACTGAGGTAGGTTATGTCGCCCTGGCCTAATCCTTCTGCATGTTTTTTTAGGATCCTGAATTCGATAACATTATCTTAGGGATGGAAAAGTCGTCCAGGTCTGGTCCTGGTCCTAGGACCTGCTGGTCTTTTTTCGCAGACCTGAAGACCAGGTCCTGGACCAACCAGCTAGGACCTGGTCCTAGACCTGGTCTTTGTATCACAATTCTCAAAAAAAATTTTTCTGATCAACATTGAGTTACTAACAAAATTTTGAAATGAGTAACTTCATTAAAGAAAATTTATTAATAAAAATTAATCAAATACATTATTTTCAATCCAACTTTTACTACAAAGTATTGCACGAGCAGTTTCTGGATGCAATCTATTTCTTATAGAAGTAACTGTATTACCAGCTACTGAAAAGGATTGCTCACAAGCTACACTTGTGGCTTGGATTGACAAAAAATCTCTTGCCATTTTTGCTAATATCGAAAATTCTTGTTGGTGAACTTGCCACCATGCTAGTGGCATTGAAACTTCATCACATGGCAATGCCAAATATCTTTCTATTTCATTATTATCATTAATGTTATTATTAACATACCTTTCTAATGTAGATGGTTGTGGTGATTGATTATTTGACTTGTGATTTTTTAGTTGTTGAAAATATTTACGATAATTATATTGTGAATTAGTTTGTGGTGGATTTAATTCTTGAATTATAGAATATTCATCTAAATACTCTTGAAATTTTATACGAAGATTAGAAATTGCTGATGATGATTCTGAACCTGGTTGAAAATTTGATAATTTTGCTTGTGGGTTTAAAATAGTTGCTATAATTGTTGATTTATCTATGATTGATCTATACTCATCAAGCTTAGTATTAATAGAACCAGCCAATTCATATTGTAATAAATCATCATCTTCAATATATTCCTCAAGGAATTCTTGTATTGCAGAAAATACCAATTTAACATCAGCAATTGTGGGATAAGAGGATGCAGATAATAATTTTGTTGCATGTTCAAGAGGTTCTAATAACATAACAGTATCCTATATTTTTTAAATAAAAATTAATATTTATTTAACATAATATGAAAATTTAATTATAAAAATATACCTCTATTTTGGTTAAACCCTCATTTGTTGGAAGTAAATCATTGATAACTCTTTCATTTGCAGCCAACATTCTAAGTGAAGGTTCTAATTTTTGAAATTTTTTAATCATATAATATGTGGAGTTCCACTGTGTTTAATGTCTAATTCAGGTTTCAAGTACTCCAAATTTTGAAATTCACACAGTCATTTTAAAGAATCACACAACAATACTGAATTTTTTATTTTAGACATTACTTCACGAACTTTTGAAACTTCTACATCAATTATTTCTATTCCTTGTTTTGCTGCAAGATTAAGGATATGTGCAGCACATCTATAATGTTTGAATAAAGTATTATTATTTGCCTTTAATTCATCTTCTATTGTTCTACCTGCTGCAACCATAGCAGCTTCATTATCACTGGTTAATCCAATTAACTTTCCCAATAAATTGTACTCATTAATTATATTCAAAATTTCTACAGAAATGTTATGACTAGTATGTCTTTCTTTAAATGAAATAATGTCTAATAAGAAATGTTTGAATTCCCATTTTGAATCAATGTAATGAATTGTCAACCCTAAAAAGAGTCATTGTTCAATGAGGTCCACATGTCAGTGGTCAAAGAAGCTTTTCCAGGGATAGCATCAATTGTTTTATTTATTGAATTTTTTTTTTGATTAAAAAATTCAATTACCAAATTTTTTAACTTATGTCTATCTGGTAATTTATATCTGGAGTCAAACTGTTTGATCATTTCAATAAAATACTTATTTTCAACAATATTAAATGGTTGTAGATTACCTATTACCCATCTAATTAATAAATTATCTCTTTTATTTCGTTCATTTTCTGGCCAAGGATTAATTACTTGAAAATTAAGCATGGTTTGTAATGTATTTGATTGCTTTTTTTTTATTTTAATATTGTGTAAATTGACCATGTGCCGTTCAATAGATGAGTTGCCAGATTTATCAGAAAAAACATAGCTACACTTTTTACAGACTCTCTTTTTAGAATTGTTGTAACTTATATAATTCCAAATATCTGCAAATTTTTTTCCATTTTTTTCATTATTAACGAAATTAAATTCAGTATCATTTTGTTGCTTCTTCTGGATTGTCAACATTAATTATCTCATTGACCAAAAAATTATTATCAGATGGTTGAGGAGTTTCTATTGTTTGTGTCTCTTCCAAGCTATTTCCTTGGTCATTATAATCATAAAAACTACAATAATTATCATTATAAAAATTATCTGAAACATCCATTTTAAAGAATTAATTAAAAAAATATCAATGTATATTGTATATCTTTTTTATGAAAAATCTTTGTTAAGAAAAATTGTTATATTATTATCATTATTCTATTATTACTATTATTTGTTATCATTAATATTTGTTGTTGTTATTATTATTATTTTATTATTATTATTTATTATTGTTGTTGTTGTTATTATTATATTATATTACTATCAATTAATTACTATCTCTATTATTTGCACATATGAGGTGGATGAATTGCTTATAATTGCACAAAATGAATTAAAAAAAAATTAAAATTATTTATTTGAAGAATATTATATCTTAGGTGATCTAACAAGTATTTTGATGCTAAAAATATTAATGTAATAATAATAATTAGTGATGTTTATTTTTTTGAAAAACAAAAATAATATATTTGAAAGAATAATTGTGTAAAAAAAAAAAACTTAATTTTCAATTCTTAAATCTGATTGGCCGGACTTTTTAGGACCTGGTCCTGGGCTGGTCCTAAAATTTGGACTGGTCCGGTCCGGACCTGGTCTTTAGGTCCGGACCTGCGGACTTTTCCATCCCTAAATATAGCGCAAAGGCAAATTATTTCCTGTTTGGACTGGGATATTTTCATTTTCTCCGCTCAGTATTTTGTCACCAACTTTTAATCCTTTGGGGGTATGAAAAGATGTCTTTGAATTGCCATCTTCAATACGGAATTTTCCTTACAAAGTATCTCTTCGGACAAGCACTAATCTTTCCTGAGGTCTTTTTGAGCACCCATTGGGATGGTAACATGGCCGATTACAGACTTCTCCAGTTCTAAGGATATAGGGACAACGATAAAATGCCATTCTTTTTGATGTTTATCTTGATTGAGTATATAATATGTACTGATCAATATTCTTTAGAATTAATTTTCATTTTGAACTTTTTAATTCCGAATATTATACTTTCAGAAAAAACATGAGTACCCAAAGTGAACATAGCATGCCTATTGTACCTGTATCATCCGATATACCAACTATGAATAACCAAAATTTCCAAGAAAACATCAATCACGTGCCAACAGAGGCGGAAGTATCACCTTCCCGACCAGAGAGCCCAGAAGATTTCGAGCCAGAGTTAGAGGAAGAAAATAATGGGGCGTTCTACCACCGGGGGGGGGGGGGGGCAAAGCTGAGAGTGTGGCTGAATATATGTATAAAATTCGTGATGATAGTGTAAAGCCAAGACAATTTCTTGGTACAGATTCCGAAGATGGAATAGAAGCTATATTTAGTGAACGGCAAGGGCATTCGTTACATGAATGCATTGATGGTGATGACCCACTTCGTCCCTTTATCGATTTTGATTTATCTAGAGAAAAATTTGATAAAATTGAACCCAAGCTTACAGCTAAAGAAATACCGGATTTACTTTGCCGTGCCTTTTCAAGAACCTTTAGAGAAATATACCCAGAATGGAATTCCCATACTTTAACAATTGCTAGTAGTAGTGATAAGAAAAAAATGTCACTTCATATCTCTACTTTCGGTATGAGACTTAAAAATATAACAGCTTGTGCATTATTTACTGAGCTTGTCCGTAATAAACTCCCGGTGGGGCTACAAAGCAAGGAAATTGTTGATAACATCGCCAACAAAAACTCATTTTCCTTACGAATGCTTAATAGCCCGAAGGTAATCGAAATAAAATGTAATGAAAGCGGTGGAGGCAGAGCCTCATTGATTCACAATAAAAAATCAAATAAGCATATCCGTCCAAAGAAAGCATTATTTCCAAAAGATAGTTCTGTTTTCGATTTTATGCTTCGACCTCCGCATGATGAATCACAAATTATAGATAGCCCAATGTTAGACGTTCCAGACCCTAAAACATCGAATAATTGTAGGTCCATAGACCATGCTTCGCATAAAAGTGATGCAGGAACATTCGGATCTGAAATAGAATTTATAGAAAGATTGCTTGAAGAATATAAAATAGAAGGTTATGAAGTTTTGTACCCTTCACCTGCACTTCCAGACATTTTTCCTCTAAACCGTACATCTATATCTGATTGTCCACTTTGTAAATGAGAGCACACTAGTGATAATGCATATGTGATCAGAAATAAAAAAACTTACCGCTACTATTGTCATCGTTCAGATCAAGAAACATCCTCAGGTATGAGAAAACCATCGTTGGAACTTATCGTTAAAGAATCAATCGAAGATCGAGAAAAAAACCTCCCCAAACTTGTAAAATTAGAGCGATCTAGAATTTCCGATCCCAATGATCATTTTGTATGGGGTGACTTACTGGATATGTGTGCATCAAATAAAAAATTTTCTCGTGACGAAGTATATGAAGCAATTCAAGCAACAGTTGCCTGTGTTGATGATGGCTCGGAAACATGGTTATTTAAAGTTGAACATCCAGAAGATGGACTTTATTTTAATATGAAATCCAAACTTAGTCTTGCTAAATATGAAATCAACATAATCGAACTAGGCGGAGAATTGGTAAAATTAAGTTCATTGATACAACGAGCTTTTACTAATAACCTAATTCGATATTGCATTATCAACTTTCACCCATACCCACCAAATGTGAACCCGCCAAAGACGAATTTCTTCAATCTCTTCTTGGGATTTCTAGCTAAGCCGGCAAAAGAGATTAATACAAAGATCATGAATCCTATCCTCTGGCATGTAAAATATGTGATCTGTAACGGGAATGAGGAACTTAATAAATATATTTGGAACTGGTGGGCATTTTTAGTACAAAGACCGGAGAAAAAACCTCGCTCAATTCTAGTATTAAAATCTGCACTTCAACAGTGTGGAAAAAATATTATTACTGATTTTATTGGTGATAAGGTATTAGGACCAAATCTCCATTACGCGACTTCCGATCTGGGGAAAATTCTTGGAAAATTTAATAGTCTTATTCAAGGCAAAAAGCTTGTAGTTATGAATGAAACTAGTATGTCTAGTGGGGAATGGCATAGATTCAATGGTCATCTCAAATCTCTTATAACGGAGGGAAGAGTATCTATAGAACGAAAAGGTCTAGAACCTTTAAGATTAAATGATTTCAGTGGGTTTATGATTACAAGTAACCAGGATGCCCCTATCAAAATAGATGCTGGCGATGCCCGCGTAGTTTGTTTTGACGTATCTCCACGTTGTAGGGGTAATATACCATATTTTGATCGACTAGGAAAAATTCTTGATCATTTCGACGCGCCAGGAGTAGTTATGTCATATCTTCTTAGCCGTGATCTGTCAAAGTGGAGTCCACAGAATTTCCCTATCACTAAAATGAAAACAGATACAATAATGAAACAACTCCCAAACCCTATTCGCTTTATAATACAACATATTAAATCATGGCCTGAAAATCAAATCGAAAAACCAATCTGTGGAAATTTATATCAAGATTATCTTACTTGGTGTGGGAATGATGGCGAAGATCGAATCAGTAATAACAAATTTGGAGGTTTTCTTCCACCGATAGGAATCGAGAAAAAGCAAGTATGGATTAATGGAAAAAGAGAATGGGTATATATTCTTGATCGATCCAAAATCGTAGCTAAGTTACGTGAATCGGTAGGTGATATCGAGGAATTTTCCGACACACCTCAAGCCGAGATATCCTCCAACGCGTCCACAGATATCCCTGTATTCGATATACCTGAAATTGTTACATCTCCCGAACCAGAAAAAAAGATATCTGAGTCATCGACCACCGATCGCATCAAAAAAGGTAAGGATACATTTCCCGCTCCACCCATTACTAATATGACCCAGGAACTCTTTGATTCAATAATAGATCAACCAGAATATTCAGTTGCTTCGTCATCCAAGTCTACCGATATATCTCTGCCTCCCGAGATCGAACATGTAGAATCTGTAGATGATAGATCCGAACCAGCTTCTGAGATCATTAAACCAGCGAATGATGAAGTTGAACCATCTCCTATTGAATCTGTGGAAAATGAACTGAGAGCCAGCAACGAAACACCTCCCCAGCAGATATCATACCCGCCCGGATATCAAACCAGGGAGCAACGAGAAATACGATTAAGGCAAAAAGCCATCGAACTTGGTGAGGATCCAGAGATTTTCATTACTATAACTGATAAAGATAAGCTCGATTCCATAGCATTCCATGATAGAATGCAGACTGACGCGAGAATGTGTGGTTATGCAAAGGAGGCCGAAGAAAATCCCAGTGAATATATGGATATGACAGTACGAGAAAGATTAATAAGTGAAGAAATAATCCGCCGTTCTCTCGAGGAAGATGGAATCACGACTTCGTGGCTGGATACTGATGAGGAATGGAAAAAAACGATTAACATACTCCAGGAAAATGGTATGTTATGGTAATTGCTTAGTCGATGAGGAACGAATAAGGTGAATTTTGCAGGTAGGAGCTTTGATATAGGGGGGTTTTTTGCTCTCTACAACTGGTTAATATAAAAATTTGGATCAAAAAATATTCCAATACATGAAAGTGTACTTATATCTCATTTCGCATCCAAAGTATAATCTTTAGTATCTTGCTGTCGCTTCAAAAAAGCCTGTACATCTTCTAACATTTTCCTACTGGCGTTTTCAATCCGCTCCCTATTATAGGGTATTTTTAATAATTTACGAAGATCTTTGAGAGATAATTTTCTGTAATCGTCAACTAATACAACAGGCCCTCGAATTGGTGGTAAATCATCCCGTCCCATTCGTTGATATATAAGACGAGTCGCTAATGGATTCTGAGGTAAAGATTTAGCATAACCATCATCATCATATAATATAGCAAGATCATAATTATCCAAGTCGCAAATGGTAATATGCTGATTATTGGTACATTCTAGTAGGCGACAGATTTCTTCACTAGTATTATTAATTCTTTTTACTTCCGGAGGACCATTTACAGGAATATATATTCCACGATATATTGTCATGACAGATTGATTCGGTAAAATTTTAATCTTAATACCATCCTCAAATTTAATTTTAAATATGAAAGTGAGAATAGAATAATATAACCACTTTGCGATTACAAATCGAAAATGCCTTGTAATTGGTTATTAGTTGGGGATATCCATTTCTGCAAGACCCCAGCAAAAGGGCAATATTGCGCTACCCATGCATTCAAAATTCGAAAGGGTGTAATAATTCCCCAACCATGTAAAGGATGTGGTTGAGGGACTAAATCGAGTCTTCAGCTTTGTGTTCCGTGTGGACAAGGTAGGGAAAGAGCGTATAAATATTATAAACAGAAAAATAACCAATTAAACTTATCATTTTCATAAGTAACAATCAACTATTATCATTTTCATAACTATATACCACATTGATACTATAGACAAAAATGTATACCCAAGAGCCAGAGTATAACAAAGAAACGATTACCTCAGATGAGTTATTCAAATTAGCTAGGCGATCGAAAAAGCCAAAAATCTATAACCCCAAAACGAACCGTATGATTGTAATCGATGGACCAGCATATAATGTCTTGATACGCAATGGTTATATGCATTGGAAAGAGGAAAAAGTTTTAGTCCCTCCAATTCATGAAAAATTAGTATTGGGAAACTGGTTCGCGTTCATATCTAATCGTATTTGGGATATTGCATACAATCCAGAAAAAAGTTTACTTTCGTTAATTGATAGAAAAACAAGTTTATTACAGGTATTGCTCGAAGTATATAATGATTATACTATACGTAAGTTATTGAAAATAGACTGGAATAGTATAGAGACTCGGAAATGGAGAAATGATATACTTGCAAGATTCCTCCATCACCCAAAATTTAGTCCTTCGAAACATAAACCGAATGCCTTATATGATGCATTCACCAAGGCAGACGTTCTAGAGCCAGAGCATATATTAATTCTAGCTCGAGCAATGTAAAAAATAAAACATAATAAGAAACTGATATATTATTTAGCCTGGGTTCCTACCCCCAAAGCTATATTTTTTTCGTTATATTCTATGTATTGGTAAATTTCAAATCGACAGACATGTATCATGTACCTGGCATATACCGATCATTTTTTCCAGGACCTCTTTAAGTAATGCTATATCCTCTTTGATGTCTTCTATATTTTTGGCTATCTTATTACGTAGAGCTATGGATTCTAAAACTTTCGATCTATTCCATGTCTTATTCATATCCATTTCCAAATATAATTACATTAATCGCCACCCATTCAATTTTTGGGTATATATATCGACCTAGGATAATTAATTTCGATTTGAAAAAATATATTTTATAGTGTATATAACCTGAAGAATTGTTCACAACCCACTTGACCTATTATAACATTCAATCATGTCAGCCATCGCAACTAAAATCGTAGAAAAATACAATCTCAGCTCCGAGATGAGTGTGTCCGATCTCAGTAAATATACTTCAGAATTTCTTGAAAACCTTACAGATGATAGAAAGCGGAATCAAGCTCGACGACGTCTTCGGGATGGTTTTAAATTTAGCAGTGAACAGGTAGGTGTATTGATACCTAATCAGAGAGGCGGGAAAAACAAAACTATAAATATTGTTGAAGGTAGTTGCAGAATAGCCATAGCTTCACCCCCAAAAAGCTTGGAAGAAGAAATTATCAGAGAGATAGCAAAACGAATCTTGCAAAATAGATATGGGTTTAGTGAGGATCGAGTGGAAGCCTTATTTGATTTGCAAAGCGACTTACGTCACCTCTCTGTCCAGGAAAACGAAAATAAGACCAAGGAGAACGTGTCCTCTTCTACAGTAAACATTGTTATTTCTAAGAGACAAAGTCTCCATTCTTCGAAAGATCAGGTCTTACAAGAAACTATTGGAGAGATGGCACATCGGTTTTTACGAGATAAGCTTAGTATTAGGGATATAAGAGCTGAAGCTTATGCCTTAGCCCTATCAGCGAAAAATGCCAATGCTGGTTCATCACGTCTTTCACGGCTTAGAAGAGAATTAAAAACCCTTGGTGCATCATTTGATATAATTGAGGCCACGAAATTCCCAGATATTACAGAAGATGCTAACAAAATCCAAATGGACAATCGGAATAAGGCTAAAACCATTGATTATCCGGATCATTTTACGTTAGAATCAGTCAAAGAAAGATTAGATGCGTATGATATTAAAACTTTACCTGATTGTCAGGCTCTTGCTGATGTTATGGTGATGCTTTGTATTCGTCCTGCTGAACTTGCAACTTTACGTATTACAGATGCTGGAGTGACGGGTTATGCAAAGAACAGGGGTCAACCGGATATTCCTAGAAAATTTAGATCTATGGAGAGGGATCAAGAACGAGCTAATGAATTATTAACCTGGATACAGAATGCTATATCTTCTGATCGGATGGGTGATCCAGGTAAGCCAGGAGCTAAATGGTTCAATAGATTCTTAAAAGATTATAATTTAATCCCCAAATACTTACGAAAAATGGGTGCAATTTATGGTGTGGTAATACATGAGGCTAAGAATATGGCCCACGCTTATACAATTGCTGGGGAATGTCTACGCCACAATCCCGACAACTATACTTCTCCTGTGCAAAATTACGTTGTAGTCAATTATCGCCGGCGAGGACAAACGCCTGAAGAAGCAAGACCATTTCATATCTATGATCAAGATTAATCACGCTTCATTACTTTTACTACATCCACAGTAAAATCATCATCATCATTAGACGATTCAGACCCAGATGAAGATGAGGATGAGGACTCAGATGCGGTATCATTTAAATTTTTCTTTTTTCTTTTAGCCTTGCATGGTGTACGATTTCTTCGAGAAATGTCTGGGTTTGCTATTAAGTCAATAATCTCTAGCCCAATCTCAGGTTTCACTATTTCCAGTAATTGGTGAAGAGAAATCGAAATTCTTCTATGTGATATCTGTTTAACAATTTTAGATACTAGTTTCGAGGTATTATTGCCGGAGGCAACTGTTTCACAGCTATTTTTAACCATTGGATTTAAATCGATTTATTATTAATACACAGAAAAAATATAATTAGATATATTATCATAATAAAGCATTACAATGAAAATTTTATATTGTGAAATTAACGAAACACCAGTTACAGTTGTATTAGATTCCGGTGCTAATTGTAATATTATAGGTAAGAGTTTAGTAGATGATTTGGGTTTGGAAATCGATTACCCTCACATAGAATCTGAAAAATCACCACATATATTAGGGTTTCCAATACTAGGGATGTTCCATGAAATAAATCCCTCTTTTCAATCCAAAGATAATAAATCAAAGCAAGTAAAAGTTACCGACGTTTTTGTTACCAATAAACCCGAACTTGAATCTGTAATGATATTGGGTCAGCCGTGGCTTCAGGAAAATGCAATGAAGCTGGACTTCCCAAATAAAACTCTTACATTGCTCGACGGAACTGATATACAATTAGTTATTGGACCAAGAATATATATCGATCACTTGAATATAATATTAACTGGACCTACTGATATTCAAAAGTTTCGATTAGGGATTTTGAGACAAGAGGAGAGTTCGATAATGGAATATTACACAAAAGTAAAAAAATGTGGTAAATTAGCTGGATATAATGAAGTTCAGCTTAAATATCACTTCCTCCGTGGATTGTCTCGTGATAACCAGTTAGAAGCCAGAAGATGTGGAACAGACCTGTCATTAGATGAGCTGATTGCAAAGTTAAGCGTGGTTGAGAATATCAGAAAAATAAATGATATATGCGTCTAAATTAATTATCAGAGCATTGGTTATTTTTCGATTAAATATATACATTACTTAAGAATGGCGCAACTAAATATTTTTGATTTACCTGAATTACTAGAACAGATCTTATATTTTTTAGAAATCAATCAATCCCTCTATCCCGCTTTATTCGTCAACCACTTTTGGTATCACTGCGGTGCTCCTATTCTATGGCGACGCATTGAATTTTTTACAGAAAAAGATTATCAGAGAGGTCAGTATGGTCGTAAGATGCCTCGAGTTCTTACTCGGCGATTGATAAACTTTAAAAGAGTTATGTGTGGAAAGACAAAACCTCTTTATTGTTCAAAGATGGTATATCTCAGATTGGAAGGTTTAAAAATCAAAGATGCGTTGATTAGTGCGATTCTACGCTCATGTCCAGATATACATATTCTCATTCTTGATCGAAGTGATGGTTTCTCTAACATACCAATTATAAAAATTGCAAGATATTGCCCAAAGCTATTACATCTGAGTCTTAATTCATGTATATGTCTCACTAATCGATGTATCACTGAAATTGCTCGCTCATGCCCAAAACTTAGACATCTTGAGCTTGGTAATTGTTCGATTGGTAATAAAGCTGTCGAGGAAATAGCCCGCAACTGTACTAATTTGAAATATCTTGGTTTAAAGGGGTGTAAAGGGATTAGCGAAGAAGTGATGAAAAAACTCAATCCAAAAATTAAAATCGAACATCCAGATTATTCTGATGATGAATGGTCTGATTTACCTTCACTTATTCCAGATGAAACAGATTTTATTTCTGCATTCGGGGATTATATCCAAGTATCATCGGGTTTAACTAGACCAGAACGAATTAATATATTAAATAGTCTTGTTCAAGCCATTGATCAAAGATTACATTGATCGTGGCAGATCTTTAGGGTGGATAATTAATTATCTAAACTTTAGTTATTTTTTCGACTAAAGATATAGTATATAATATAATTATTTTACCATGAAAATAGTCAAAGCTAAAGTAGGATCGCAGAAAATTAATTGTCGTCTTGAACCAGGTTTTCTTGGACTATCTATGTGCACTGATAAGCTCCTCAAGAAAATCGGTGGTAAAATTAGCAGAAAGTTGACTCCCGAAGAGAAAGATAGTAAATTCGTCAGAGAAGAAACCACAGCTCCACTTGGATTGGCCGTAATCCCACTTACCTTTACTTCTAATGTAATAAAAAATCATCGCCTTAGTAATTATGAATCCATCACAATCCCGACTGAAGTACTTGTAGAAAAATATGGCCCCCAAATGCCTAATTTTATCCTGCTCGGTAATAATTGGTTCTATGGACGCAATAACGATGGGTTTCAGACGTATCTACCGGAAATAGTAACAGATGCAGAAAATGCTTTGGTAAGAACCACCTTACGCATTAAGGACCTTGGCTGGAAAGTTGGCACAGCCAAAGCTAAAAGGAAGCCAAGGGTTAATGTATATGTTAATAAAAGGTCTATTCACGATTTTTACAAATCACTTCCTGGGAAATCGAAAGATGAGTCGAAGACTCGAGACTTTGTCTCTTCATTGCCCCGCAGATTAAATACTTCTAATTCGGATACTTCTTCCAACTCAGATGTTTCGGATAGCGATTCAAGCGATTCAAGTAATTCTTCCTCATCATGTTCGGGATCAGAAGATAAGCACATATATAAGACTGTGGCTGTTATACACCCGAAGCGATGTCGCAAAGTAAAAAAGAAAAATTAATTACATATAAGCAAAATATAATAATCACGATACAATGGAAGAATATACTCAAAATTTCCTTGAACAATTCCTAAAGGATCATAATGTATTAAGAAAATATATACAGTGCAGGACACCTAATCCCGCAACTTACTGCGCCACGACGACGAATTTTGGGAAAAAATTTCCAATCAAAAAT